TCGTGTAAACGTAGATGAACGCTCACTATCGAGATGAAGTTCAACGATGTCTACTCAAGGCCCTCCACACTGCCTCAAGGACTCATCGAAGATCTAGCCGAGCTGAGGAAGGGCACCGAGATATATACCCCCCACAACGAAACAGTTCTTCGGCGTCACATCCACAAAGCCCTCGCGCCGCGTCCCGAGCTTCGCTGGCCTCCCTATTCCCCTCCCCCTCCTCCTGCTGATCTCGATTCTGTCGTCTGGTTCAATTCTACTCCACGATCATCTCCACGTTTCACGACCTGGCCTCCCAAATTGTCAGAAAGTCCTCCACATCGCGAAGAGTCCGATGCGAATACGCCAGGATCAATCTCTAAACCCGTAACTTATGTGCGTCGCACCTGGCCTCCAGAATCGCCTGAAAGCCCTCCTGATCCAGAGGACTTCATCTGGGATCATCCTCAACGCAAGCCGGAAACGAATCTTTCTCCAGCCTTATCATGTGATAGGCCTACTTGGCCTCCCGAATCCCCCGAATCTCCACCTGATCCAGAGGATTTCGTCTGGTTCACCGGCAGCAAAGAAGGATCCGATGCCGAAATTGGACACTCAGACTCGAGCTCTTCGTCCTCGAGTTTACTTTCAGAGCCTCGTTCCAATGACCTCGATGCCTGCGAGACGGTCGCGACCTTCGGTAGCCCATACCAGGGACATCCTCCTGCACCTCTCGAACCTTCGGTCCTCGATTCCTATCACAGCGGATATATTCCCCATATCATTGGCGAGGACGACCCTTTTAATCCTTTTTCGTATGATATCAAGTACGTCGGCGAAGGCATAGCCCGAACCATCAAGACTCCCACTGGCATAATCGTTGCGCCTGTCCCGAGGAAGCCCATGGAGGCCGCACTGCGAAACTTCGAAGCCATTGCTATGAGGGCGACGCTGCCTGGGAACGAGCATCCCGACGACAAGCCCGCACCCCCTGCGCAGCAACGCGAGTCTCTGGAGTATCCAGAGGTGATATACGAAACGGGTCGTCGTATGGACTTGGTCACAGATATGGTTTCCCAGCTATCCTTGGCGCCGGGCCCGTTGAAGGAGGAAATGTCGAAGATGTGGCAGGATGCTGGGAATGTCAAGACGCCTTTTGGGTCGCGCTGGGAAGACGTTCGCTTTTGCGAAATTTTCCAGGGGTTGCACTGCGAGCTTCCGCAGTCAGCTAGGTGTTATCACGAAGATAGGCGACGGCTTGAACTTCTTCACATTCTGAACGGGTGCCAGATATGAACGCCAATTGCCTGGTGGTGTACAATGGGTTTCTGGATTGTTGTACTAGCATCTTAGGTTCGGTTTCTGCAATACATACACCCTGCCTTCAGTTTACTATGCGCGTTAAGTTCAAGGAAACACATACTGTCTCTAACCTGTCTGATGTCACGGTCATGGTTGGAGGAGAATGTTTGGTTTTAACAAACACAACTTTGGTGATGACCTTCATGATCAAGACCGCTTTTCGGAAACGCCTTGGCTACAACGGTGCACGTTCTTCAGTGACAACGAGATCTTTTGCTGTTGTGTAAGGTGTGCATCATGCAGGCTTCACGTCTTGTGTTCGTCCGAAAGGCTGGTATCTATTCTCAGTCTTTAATGATCCCTGCAAATCCTTTCGAATTTCATTGCCAGTGCGGAGACCATGTATAATGATAATGTAACCCATTCATCTTCAACTTTCTTGCTGGGCATTGCATCCCTCATCCCAACTTTCAAGCGCGAAGTCCTGTCGCTCTTGTTGTAAAGGGAAGGCTCTCGTCTACGACTGCGCGAAAGAGCAAAACATAGCCTCAAAGCTTTCTATCTGAAAGACACATTTCATCCAAAACTTCCGGAAGTCATAACCATCGTGTCGCTTATTCGGTCTAACGCTCACTGCTAAGAAGAGGTGCGTTGATCTTGCGACGTCGATGATCTCTCTGATCTCATTTTGCAGGTCAAATTCAGTAAAGTTCCAGAATCTTACCCTACCACCGGTGCTGTGGCAGCTCCTAAACTAAATACATTTGGGGCTGTTATTGTTTTTTTTGTCAACTTGACGGTTCATGGGACCAAAAGACTGTTCTGCCAGACAACGTAATTTCCATACACAGTTTAGTCTACCGGCGGTTCGTGAATGCCTGGAGTATGTAAGTAATTTATTTCAGGTCTTGTGAAGTTCGACTTACGTAGGTTCTACATGTCAAGTCAATTATCTTTGACAACTTACACGGAACGTGTACAGCCGAGCAGTTATAAAAGATATATGTCCTCCCGAGTTTAGCGACTCATCTGACATTTCCGCTGCGATGGTCAAATCTGACGTTGAATTCGATATTTACTATATTCCTAGGACTGACGACGTAGGCCAGCCTGCAAGATCGAAGTCATTGAGGCAACACCTTATCACGACTTTCATCGCAGGGTTTCTTGCGCACTGGGCGCTACAGCTTGTCTACAGCTCGTCGTTCCTTACTGTAGAGGCCCTGGCCGACTACATCTTCCCCGCAGTCGACAATCGTCATGCCGAAATTCTTGCGCCGCCGTACGTGGGGTCTTCAGAGGTCCACAGCTATCCCCCCACGCACCCTGCCAACGCCGATCCGACTTTGTTTCCTAGCAGCGTGGGCTACGCTGGCAGCACGCCGACGGGAGCCGAGCCTGGCATTGTTATCACTGCGCCCTCGTACCCTATTCACACGGGTGCCGCTCAGCTCGTCCAGCCTGACACCTTAGGAAGGAAGCACAAAAGCCATGGCTCAGATTTCGATCTGTTCCAGAAATGGGGCAGCCTGTCCCCATGGTACAGCGTTGGGAAAGGCACATTTGGAGTTGACGCCGACCCCAATGTGCCCGACACGTGTAGAGTGACTGGCCTACACTTCCTTCATAGGCATGGTGCTAGATACCCTACTGGCAATTGTGACTATCAGCATCCTTCTTTACTTCCTTTGAAATACTGACAGATGCACTTTTATAGCTGGCCCAGCAAAGTTTGCAGGTAAACTAAACAAAGCTGCTGCAAATTGGGAGGCCAAGGATAATCTGAATTTTTTGAATGAATGGTACGATTTCAATGTCATACAATGATATATGATCTGGGTTTATGATCGTAATTGCTGCAGGACTTACAAACTAGGGGAAGAGGGTGCGCGTTTTTGATATCCGTATTCGACTGCTAGCATCCGACGACCTTGTTTTCAGTGCTCACCCCCTTCGGCCGACAGCAACTTTGTTAGCTTTTGACTGTTCGATGTTTTTCTTTGACTTTTCTGATCTCTGTATCCGCAGATGATTTAGGGGTATCCATGCGACTGAAGTATGGATTTTTACTGAAGGTAAAGAAGCTCTGAAGGTCTTGATTTACGGACTTGACATTTTTGCAAAAGAATTTCACCGATACGAATACTATCCCTGTATTTCGAACCGAATCCCAGTAACGATCTTCGAAAATTTTCAGCTTGCAGCTAATATTGATGATTTTCACTTAGGGACCGAATGGTTCATTCGGCTTTGAACTTTGCTCTCGGCTTCTTCGGTATTCCACTCGAAGGGAAATATCAGTTAAGCATTACTTTAGAAGACAGACAAAAGAAGGTTTTTCGTCTCTTGTGGTATGAAAGTTATCAGTGCTAAGTACATATTTCAGTTCAGCAATAGTCTTGCGCCATACTACGCGTATGATGCCACTGTCACTGGATACTCAAATATTCGTTCATAATTTTGATAGGTGTGCGAATGCCTTGGTCCCGACAAAGGGCTTCCGCGGCACGTACTATGTCAAGAAATGGACCGATATATATCTTCAAGATGCTCTTACTCGTCTTCAGCCAAAAATAGAGCACCTGACGCTTGAAGTCGAGGATCTTTACGCCATGCAACAGCTGTGTGCATATGAGGTACGTGCTGCTTTACTTCTAAACACGGGATGGCGAATAATTCGAGGGTCAGACTGTCGCTATTGGCTTTTCAAAGTTTTGCGAACTCTTCACAAAGGAAGAATGGGACCATTTCAATTACGCGTAAGTAATGTATCTTTTCGTTATGATTCCATCCTTACATGTTCGTAGCTCCGACCTCGAGTATTGGTATGTTTTGCCCAGCCTCTCAAATGACCACTTAAGCCACTGACGGTTCTACTTGCAGGTACGACTCCTCCTTTGGATCTCCAGTTGCTCGTGTGTTGGGTTATGGTTGGGTGCAGGAACTGATTGCACGACTTACCCACACAAAGATTACTGACCATACCCCAGCAACAAACGCTACACTAGACGATAATCCCATAACCTTCCCGCTCCACAACAGTCTTTACGTTGATGCAACACACGAAGTTGTCGTCCTTAATAGTATGCTTTTTTTTTTTCGCTCTCTCCTTCTCCAGCTCATTTGAATACAGTTCTCACAGCGCTCAATCTGACCAGCTTTGCTGCGTCGGGACCACTTCCCTATACCCACGTCCCTCCAAATCGTGCATTTGAAACTTCCAAGCTCGCTCCATTTGCCACCAATGTCCAGTTTCAGTGTAAGGCGTCTCTGCGTTTCTACAATCTATCCTCACATAGTTCGAATGCAGTGCTAGAATGTACATCTGTACCTGGTCCTCAAATTCGTATCATTGTCAATGACGGCGTGGCTCCGCTGACTGGTATAGAGGGATGCCCTAAGCAACACGATGGAATGTGTCCGGTTGATGTGTTTGTCAAGGCACAGAAGAAGCGTTGAAGGAGACGGATTGGGACTGGGGATGCAATGGTAACTGGACAGTTCCTGAGGGTCCGGAGTGGACTACGACGGATGGGTCGCCTCCGCCGAAGCCCTGAAGGTCATAAAATTTCCGAGTAGGCCCTTGTATCGTTTTTATGTAATCCGATTTCGTGAGTATCTTCCTTCCACTAGGGTGTCAAGAGGTTTCACGGAGCTGGGTCAATACTCTGTTGAGCCAGCGGTCGCCTTCTGTTGTCCCGTCCATAAGAAGCGCAAAAAACCAAAGATGGGTCTCGAACCCACAACCTCCGCCTACCGACGCGTACGTAGGAGAGCGATGCTCTACCATTGAGCCACTTTGGCTGTTGCGAATAGTCTCTAGATGTCGATGAAGATGCAGATATTGCTATGGGGAGGTATGAGATATGATCATCGGATTTCGGATCGGAGCCAGTCATGAGGTTTTGCGAAGTGTCCCTACCCATACGCATTCCGTATGCTGTACCATTGAGATAGATTTGACGGTAATTTTATCTGGATACCTTGAGAAAAGGTAGTTGTTGTAATTTGTGGCAGGTAGTAGGAAGGGCACGAGATAAGATGTTGTCGGATTTCGGGAGTAGGACTCAATTTAAAGTGGGTGACTGTCACTGACTGAAAGCCGTAAACATGTTCGAACTCTGCGACGAGTGTCCTTATCCCTTGGTCGAGCAGGAGAAACGTCTCAAAGCTGCGCGTGCGCTTTCCCAAGCGAACATTGACTGTGTAGTTTGGGGTGAAGACGCATTGGCTTTTGTCCACTGGGTTCCTACGCACCTCTTCTTCCTACATCTTGTCGTCGCTGACCACAACGTCTCTCGTGCCGCACAAAAAGTCTTCGAAACATTGCCTTGTGAAGTATTTACGGGACATCATAAAGAACTGGACGAGTTCTGGGTGGATGACCTCGATGAACCCAGGATATAATACCCCAACGCAGCAACTTTGCGGCCCACAGAGTTAATCCAAAGCATCGAACCCGAGATAATCCTCATTCATCCCGAGTCCGACTGGAATTTCAACGTGGCGGATCGCAGTCTCTCGGTCCCTCTGTCGCCGTTCCCCGAGAATATTCGTTTCCCAAATCGTACTGCCTTCATCAATTCTTTGATTGAATGTACATTGGACCCCCCTTCTGGCCGGAGCTTCGTTAAAGCGCTGGAAAAAAATGACCACATGGCTTGCTTATATCAATGATTACACTCTGCGGACGAACACTGAACCCATGGAGGTGAAACTGAGCCTCAAGCCCGAAAACCAGCCATTCTATGAGTTCGGGCTGGCGGGGACAAGAACTAAAAAGACGATTGATCTTGCAATGGAACGTAAAAGGATACTGGAAGGATTAGGGTCTGTTCTCCTTTGTACATCTAGTTTTCAAACTGACGGTTTACTAGAAAATACGAGCAAGCACGCCGTCCACTTCCCTTTGTTAAACCTCTTGCACCACGGTATCCCACTTCCGTCTATTATGTAACAAACAACTGTCCTTCCTTTTTTTTATAAACAAAATTGTTGCGCAGCTTTCAGACGTTTCTCCTGCTGCCCCAAAGGATCTCTCGCAGTATTCGAACATGTTTGCGTGCTAAATGACCACAGGCAATACTCAGTGAGTCCCTGAGAGTCATCTGTAGTGTAAAAACCTACCCTGGCTTTATATTTCGACTTGAAAAGTGTATCATTGCAAGGAGTGGAGGCCCTAGTTCGACGCGGGAATCGCAAGCTATGGGTCTTCTTTTTGACAATGCAAACGGACAGGCAAATACTAGGATAAGAAAGGCGATAGGAATACGATGCAAATGGACGTATACAGAGCAAAGGTAAGGCGGGAGATCCGTCGCACATGAGATAAGATGGTAAGATCTTTAGATCTCGGAATGAATAACAATTTAAAGTTTAGCGCCCTGGCGCTTATGCATCATTGTCTTATTTCGGAGCCCCATATCGATATCAGTTCAAGTTACTCAACGTGAAATCAGAAATGACAGAGCCTGCGGCGGAGGGTTATCGACATGAGGGCTACTGATGTCCCACATCTATAACGAACTTTGCACCTTCGCACGCCGGCACCCGCGCTACTTAGAAATATGCTTACTATCATCTTCCTCGTCTTGACCTTCGTTTCTGGTTGTTCTATCTTTAAGCCAAGATAAAGTAGCGTGCAATCCGCCCGTTACATCCGAGTCTTCCTCTATATCTTGATCACGTCTCGTCAACCGCGGCGCGGGCTTGAAGTCCATGCACTTTTTTAATGCTTCCTCTAGAACGAACTGAACGTTGAACAGCTGTCGTCTACAGGTTGTCAACTCGGCTCCATCGTAGCTCGGTAGTGCAGCGGTTGCACACGCATTCCATATTCAGCATTCGTTATCATCACGGGCCCGGGTGGAGATGATGATGAATGCCGAGTTGCGAAAGCCTCGTTCGACTCGGGGACTGGGCACTCATTAGTGTAAGTTGAAGTCCATGCACTTTTTTCGATGCTTCCTCTAGAACTCAACGTTCAACAGCTGTCGTCCGACGTCTACAGGTTGTCAACTCGGCTCCATCGTAGCTCGGTAGTGCAGCGGTTGCACACGCATTCCAGATTCAGCATTCGTTGATATCATCACGGTGTAAATGATAATGAATGCCGAGTTGCGAAAGCCTCGTTCGACTCGGGGACTGGGCACTTCTTGATATATGCTGTCGACCACTTTTTTGCCAGGACTGATTTTTCCTTCCATCCAGTGAAACATCTATAGACTGATATAGGTTGCAGGGGTGGAAGATAGTCAAGGTCGTTATGTGTGCTATCTTAGTAGTAGCGAGGTGGTTGTCAAGCGCTGGCTTGGTAGTCCTAGAACGAACCAAAATCGTCGACGTCGAAGCTTCGTTCGATACGCAAAAAGTCTCGTTTTTCTTTACAAATTCTTATATTCATGTTAGAAAACAAGTCCTTACAGGCAAAAAGGCAGTGTAACCTAAAAAAACTCCAACGCTCAACGTCCTTGTCAGAGTGACACACGCGGATTGTTGCGATACATACGATGGATACATCATAGTATCATGACGGATGAGAAGTTGCTTAGTGGATCCGAATGTTTGATGTGATAATGAATGATACATGATGTACAAAGATCATAGAACTGCAGCTGCGTCAACGCCAACCCCTACTGCAACGTAAAAGATTCTTGACTCATTCGCCTTCTCCCCCACCGGCAGCGACACAACATCTCAAGGCCCCACCCGCTCAAGATCGCTCCCTCTCTCAACCTTGACCCCCTCCTCCTCGTCCTCGCGCGACATCCTCCCCACACTCGTGATCCCAAACGCCGCCGCCATCAAGCTCTGGTGAGCGGGCACCGTCCCGACGGGTGAGTTGGGCGGCGTGCGTGCGTCGTCGATGTCCGCATCCGCGTCCGCGTCCACGGTGGGTGTAGGCGGCGGGCGAAACTCGGGTGAGAGGGCGAGGCCCTTGGCCGCGGACGAGCTGAGGATGGCGTCGTATTTGATGTTGACTACAGGGTTGGAGGACATGGAGGCTGGCTGGGGGGAGCGCTGGGCGCGAGGCTGGATGTGTGGAGAGCTCGAGGGGAGTTCTGAGGTTTCGTTGGGAGGTGGGAAGGAGGGATAGTGCTCTGCGCTCGAAACGACGTCTGTGATGCTTCCTGGCCTGGATACTGGCATATCTGTGTGCGCTGGATCCGTTTAGATGGGTTATATAGGTGTTGATGGCCACGGGCGTTATATCTGTCCAGTCACTGGCTGTGCAGAGCCTGACTGATATGTCAATAATAACAATAGATCACCTCCATGGCCATAGAACAAACATATTACATGCCAGAACAAGACATATGACGGGTGCTATTGTCTTCCATTGTTGTAATCAGGACCCATGCATGGGTTTGTGGGGGACAGAATACTGGTAGTCGTCGTAGTTGAAAAGAACTCGAGTTTGTCCTTGTTTTTCTCACCTCATCGTCATCTCCTCTTTTCTTCCACACGGTCACCCACTCCTCCACAGGCACCGCTCACCGCGTCTACGCCACGATATGGGCCGAAGGAAAATCGAAATCCAACCAATCACGGTGAGCTGCTCATCTGCTTATTCGCTACCTTCGTGCGGGGGCTGGGCGTGTGGGAACATCACGTACCGACCGCGCTTGTATCCTCTGTGCAAGTTTTCGTGGTCCCGGGCTTACACCTTCTCTTCAGAACGAGCGCAATCGCTCCGTGACCTTTTTAAAGGTAATTAAGCATGCCCCTTGAAGCAAGGCTATTTTTGACCCCGGCTTGGCATCCCATCTCGTTTTATAATTATACATAAATTTCAGCGCAAGAACGGACTGTTCAAAAAGGCCCATGAGCTTGGCGTCCTCTGCTCCGTCGACGTAGCCGTCATCATTTTTGGTATGTATGCCTTTTCTCCCCTGGGGCCGCGAGGTCCCATCTTGCCAAGCTCGCTCAGCCGTTAACGCATTCAACGACGTGGTTCTATTTTTATCTAGACGAGAGGCACGGTCATGACCCAAAGTTGTATCAGTACTCTTCAGGCGATGTGCGTGAGATTGTCCAGCGCCATTTGCGTGTACGTTTTTTTCGCGTTTTGTGACGAGGAAAGAGCCCCTATTGATATCGTTTGTTTGGGACAGCATAATGGGGACCGTGACACGCGTGGCCCAGGCGATTTTTCCGGAGAGGGAGGAGGGATTAGGAACGATTCGGCTGCAGGCGAAGGAGATGACGATGATGAAGAGGCTGAGATCAATGAGCCTGCGCCGCCGCCGAAGAGGACGACGTCGAAAGGAAAGAAAGGCGACGACGACGAGTTCAAGCCCTCGTCTGGTACGAGAGCGATTACAACAGACGTGCGCAGACTTTCTTTTTCATGTACTAACTGCACCACTCACAGTACAATCTATGTTTCTGCAGTCCGAGCCGAAGCAGAGGGCTTCGATGTCGAATGAACGGTCCGCTTCGAACCCAAGGGCCAACAACATCCCAGCATCACTCCCATTCGCTGCCCCCCCGCCGCAGTTCGACCACCCCATATCGAGCGACCGTCTCCACCCCGCCCAGCACCAGCGCCCGTACCAAGACCACGACCAGCCCGTGAGCAAGAAAGCACGGCTCGACTACTCGCTCGACCTCGGCATGCCTCGAGACCACGCGCACGGGCACCCAATCCCGCCCGACAACCCCCTCCACCGCACACACGCGCACGCACACGAGGCGCTGTACATGTACCCCGCCTTCCGCCGGCCCTCTTCAGAGTCAGGCCACCACGGCCCCCCCGCGCACCCCGCGGCGGCGTACCCCTACGGCCCCGGCCCCGGCCCAGG